CGGTCCAAGTTCCATTCCAGAAATTTTTAATTTCAGTACTATTACGAGTAAAATTTGATTTATACCGGTAATAACCTAAATTACTCAACATTATTTCACCAAATCTATATTTTCCTATGAAACCAGAAGAATCCGTAAAAGTGTACGAAATTGAACTATCATCTACTTGATTTGTTTCTAATTTAGCTAAGGCAGTAAAGGTTTGATTAAGGGATGGCATACCGAATTGTGATTTACAAAGAGGTCTTATTAATACAAAAGGATTTTTATTTAAAATTAAGAAAATTGTTATTATGGCAGAAATTGTTATGAGAAAAATTATAAGAAGGATTATTCGAGATTTATTACAATGAAGCTTCATAAATCTTCTTATACGTTTTACAAAACTTTTCTTGGCATTATTAGGATTGTCTTTTGCATCAGCTAAGATAGTAGATGTACTACCATCTTGCACGTAATTTGAGTGTGGTAAGATACTTTCTGTTTTTCGCGCCATTTTACGAACGTATCTTGATACTAAAAAAATTTGTGAGAATGAAAAAGTTTTTTATTTATTTTTTTTTTTTTTTACTAATGTTTTGTCATTTCAAATAAATTATTTCTATCAACTACGTATGATATTGTCAACTGATATGATATTGATATAAAATTTCTTAATTAATGAAACAGGGAATATCCTGTCGTTAAGGAAAGTCATAAATTTATAAATATAGGTTTTTTAGCTAAAAAGTCTAACCTTTTATTTATGTATAGCAAAAAAAAAAAAAAAGAAAGGGTTATCTTAAACGTTAGCCAATCAATATATATTTTTTTATATATTTATATATGTATATATTACTCCTTAATTAAATCCAACAGTTAATGAATCTAAAAATAGGCTGACACAGCAGCGGAGTAGCTAAACTGAAAATGGTAAAACTTAACTTGAATAATTTATATCTGTGTGTGTTTGTTTATGTAATGTACAGTTGGATCTCAGTCCACTCATGACATTTTAAAACGTATTGGTTTCGATTGTTACAATTACGTAAAACGTACGTAAATCATAAATACAGTATATATTTACTAGTTGATTTTCCAAAAAAAATTCCATTAATTTGGCTGTTTGAAATAACTAATAACAGTAATTAATTAGTTAATCAAAAAAAAAAAAAAGTACTTGTATATATATTATCGTTATCATTTTTTAAAATTTTTTTCTTAAAATTTTTTTCGAGGTTCGTTATAACTACGATTAGGATTAAAAACACCACATTTATAAACCTCTTGATAAT